TATAATCTTATTAGGATATTTTTTAAGTACCTAATTAAATAGAAAGATATTTCAAGTGCATAAAAGACAAATTATTACAAAGATATCAGTTCTTTCCAAATTGATTTAAATGAAATACCAATTAATACCTCAACAGATTTTTTAAAAGAAATTTAACTGCTTATTCTAAAATTTACATGGAAGTGTGATTTATAAAGGCCGAGTAGGGCAGACAATTGTGAAGAATAAGGTAAGAGGCTTTCCTCTACTGGATATCGAGACTTATTTCTTAAAACTGTAACAATTAAGGGAGTACAGTATTGACACAGGATATTCAAATAGCCCAATGGAACAGAACAGAAAGGCCAGCCAAATTCTTGGACAAAATCCTTTCAGCCTGGTAGAAAGCCTTCTGCTTCAGCTACTGATGAATTAACAAGTCCTTATGAAGCAGCTATTTTGTGCTGTGTGCCACAGTGAATACAAAACTACAAAATACTCCCACAGTCCAGGTAAAGCTTAAAAAATTTGCCAAGAGAATAAAAGATTTGCATAAATAAAGCAATCACATGACAAAACCCAAGATAACAATTAGCAATTGTGGTATGGATAAAAAGTGCATACAAAGTTAGAGATTAAAGAGAGCTAAAGTCATCAGGGAAGTTTTCGTGGAGAAACAGGATCTGCACGCAAGGAGGTAAAGAATGGTGCGGACCTCAAAAGGCAGAAGTTACTGTACCCAGATAAAAAGCATGAGACAAAATTATGAAGGGAGGAGTGACAACAATGTATGGGAAAGACAGGGAAGAGATGTAACAAACCACAGTTCAACAATGGAAGCAGTATGAGACTACACTAAATAAAGAGGACTTGACTGCTAGTTTCAAGAGTCAGGACTTTTTCTGATAAAAAAGAAGTCACTACACATCCTTGAATAGGTGAGGAACATAAAGTTAGTTGTGTTTCACAAAGATTTGAAGGAGGCAGAAAAAATCTAGCTGTGAGGTTAGATTATGGGGTGATAAAGGCATGGAGACAATAAGAAAGAAAAGGAAGGAACGAATCTGAAATTCTCTTGTTAGGAGGTGAAATCATTAATCATGGCTGAGGTTTAAAAATACATAAGAGGCAGGTTGTACTAAATTCAGGTTTCACCGTTGGCTAACAAAAAGAGTGAAACAATATAAATATTAGAAATTTCACAAATAAAATTAAGATGCTGAAGAAGAGAGCTAACTTTCCGGTTTGACCTACCAGTATTTACTTTTGACGTCACATGAGCTACGTCAATTTTCTGGGACCTGATGAGAGGTGCAGTAGTTTTTGCAGCAGGAGTGTGTGCTGTATTCTTCCTTCGATCTTTTGCTTTACTTATCTTGGAAAGAGGTGCAAAAATACCTGAAGGAGAATGTAGAATTTTAGTGAGTGTTAAACAATTAAAAACACCTCAGATAAAGGGGCAAGTACAAGTAGTTAATAATATAAATCTTTAAGTTCTTTTTTGGTGCCTATGTGTTCCGTAGTGAGAGGAAGGAAAAAAAAAAAAATACTTGCCCTCAAAGAGCTTACAATCTAGTTGTCAAGACTAACAACACACCAATAATTTAAGAACCACATAAAGATATGTAACCAGGTGTTAGGTGAAATTCAGGGAAAAAGTAAAATAAGTAAAAATAATAGCTTTTTATTATTTATAAGCTATTGGCAAGTAACAATGAGCTATATAATATAAAATCTTATTCTTCCATGTCACCTTTTATCTCCTTTGGAAACTTATATTTATACTACATTATAGCTTTTTATATCCAAGTCTTAGCTCTCCTACAGACTGTGCACCTTTTAAAGACAAAATTCAAACGTTACTCAATTCTGCATTCCTTCACTGTACCTAATTACAGCGCCTTACAC